TTAGAGAGTGTGTGTGTTTGTGTGTTAGAGAGTGTGTGTGTGTGTGTGTGTGTGTTAGAGAGTGTGTGTGTGTGTAGGCCTGTCGCAATAATCAATATATCGACTTATCGCGCAATATATGTACATGACCTGAATAATTTTTGGTGACGCAATATATCGCCCATTTGTGTGTGTGTTAGAGAGTGTGTGTGTGTGTGTTAGAGAGTGTGTCGGTGTGAGTGTGTGTCTGTATCTTCTTACTCAAGCTCAAGACTGATTGACTCAGAGTCAGATTACTCTGTTACTGTCACTACAACATACTTTGAGGCTGAAGTGTGTAATATCTCAATTTCAGAAATTGCCAATATATAAATTGATTTAAAAAAAATGTTCATTAATTACATGTTCCCATTCATTCATTCATTCAACTATTATCTATGTATGCATTTATTTATTTTTATATTTATTTTCCCCATGTATTTATTTCCATATTTAAATATAACCACATTCATTTCAACAGTTGTTTATTGTATTTATCCTTATATTCTTACTCATATTTTTCTCTCCCATTTGTTTATTATTTTCTGTATTCCTTTTTACATTTTTATTCTTTATTTTAGATTATTGTTTTTAATTTAGGATTCTTTCTTTTTTTTTTAATATATTTTTTATAGAAATGTTAAATTGTTAGACATTTTTTTGATGACATTTATCACATTTCTTGTTTTATTGTCTTCACATTCATAAAGTGATATTTGCTTTCGGAAGTAGCTGGATATTATTTAACATCTGTTTTAATGTGTCTTTCAGGTCAACACCAAAGAAGTAATTAAGTTTCAGATGGTGAGCTGTAATATTACTTTATAATTTAAGACTCGAACCTCAGACCTTTTGGTCACAAGTCCGACTAACCATCACGGCACGACTTTCCCCAAATCACATCCAATACACTGGATATTGTTTTATTTACATGAGTCTGTATTTATTGTCCATCATATCAGTGTATTGTCTGTTTCACAGGCGTATTCAAACTTGTTGCGAGCGCACATGGACGGCTTGAAAAAGAAAGACAAAAAGAGTAAAAGCAAGAAAACTAAAGCCACGCAGTGATGGACGGTAACAGAGAGGTCTATGCCACCTTCCCATCAGCCCCTGCGTCTGAAAACCTGCCAACCTTCCTCTTCTGCTGATCCACGACCAAACAAACCAAGCACGCAGAGCTCCGTTTACTACAAGATACTAGGCTTAATGAGCGTTTTGCGTTCTATAGGTGAAGATTGTGTTGGTCCGGAATCCATCACTTTATATTTCAAGCCGTATTTTGATTTTTTTATATGGTGAGTGAACATTACAGTCAGTAACTTTCTCCTCCTGTCGTTATAGTTCAGTTCTCTGCTGTTCAGTGCTTTTTTTATTGATTTTAAGTTTGAAAGATGCCCTTTGTTGATTGGCTTGTTGGACGTTTTTGAGGTCTAACAGTGGAGTTTTTATATTTGACCTTAACAAAACCACCTTTGTAGATTTGCAAATAAAAGATAACGTTTATTCACTGATTTCATCATGAGAAAATCCCAAAGACGTTTGGACTGGGAATCACGATCTTGTGCAGGTAACATCTTCAGAAGAGACATGAAGCTTGTGTACTGTAAAAAATGAAGCGTTGAAATAAATACAGTATGTACACGTCAGGTGTGAGAAATTAAATGGCTGTGTTTCTCTTGTCCGGTCGCTGTTTGCTGGAGGTCAGCGTGTGGCTGCGTCTGCTCCGCTCTTCTTCCAGATAACCGTCCTTCATGATCGCCGTCACGTACTGGAACAGCGTCTGAGAGGAAAACACAGATCACACATGGACAGTACATCCAGAAAATGTCTAAATATTCAATAACTTTAAAAGGTCACATGACTTGTTTTAGCCTGTTTTAATTGCATGAAATATTTCATGAGCGTAAAGGAACGTTCAACGAAGTGCTAAAACTAATAAAACATAAAATAAACACACACACAAAAAATACTAGAAAACGAAGATCAAATTCTAAATATTAACAAAAACTAATAGTAAATCAAAGAAACTAAAACGACAGGAAAATGCGAAATATTTCGGGACTAAAGAAAAATGACCAAAATAAATATTCTGGGTTAAACACGTTTGTGTAATGGAGTGAAATACCTTTTCAGAAACTTGATATATAAATGTGACCCTGGAGCACAAAAGCAGTGTTAAGTCGCTGGGGTATATTTGTAGAAATAGCCAAAAATACATTGTATGGGTCAAAATTACAGATTTTCCTTTTATGCCAAAAATCATTAGGATATTAAGTAAAGATCATGTTCCATGAAGATATTTTGTACATTTCCTACCGTAAATATATCAAAACTTAATTTTTGATTAGTAATATGCATTGCTAAGGACTTCATTTGAACAACTTTAAAGATGATTTTCTCAATATTTAGATTTTTTTGCACCCTCAGATTCCAGATTTTCAAATAGTTGCCAAATATTGTCCTATCCTAACAAACCATACATCAATGGAAAGCTTATTTATTCAGCTTTCAGATGATGCATAAATCTCAATTTCGAAAAATTGACCCTTACGACTGGTTTTGTGCTCCAGGGTCACTCACACACGCTGTAATGATAATGACAGCATAACTTGCATTTAACCTGGAATATTCCTTTAAACATCACGCTACCAGTACAATAATTGTTCATTGTGCTACTAGGCACTCAGAAAGTATTCAATACTAACTTTATTTGTCATTTTGTATTACAAAAGCCTAAAGCATTTCACAAATTTAAAAATAGTGTGGTCTAATAATATAGTGTGAGTTTCAGTAGACTGACAGCAGCTCATTTGCATTAAAGAGACACAACAACAGCATGCTTTTGCTTCCATCCGAAAATATGGGCATTTACAGTATGGTGTAATAAATATGGTATTTTCACAGATACATCCTGAGGACACGTGAGACATTGCATCTTGTAAAAAAAAAAGGGGGGGGGGGGCATGATAAGAATTAAGAATACAATTCTTTGTGGTTTTTGTCTTTTATATTATAACAGAAAAAAGCAAAGTCTGTTATATTACCAAAATATTACTTGAGAATGTCCTTTTTTTTTTCTTGCGATAAGACAAAACCTAGGAAAATTCTTGTGCTCTTAAAAATCGTAGAAATCATAACATTAGAATTACCTCCATTTCATTTTAAATCCCCAAAGTGAAAATGTTTATTTTATTGGGTCATTTCTAATATTAAGCATTGCAACAAAACACTAACTACATATAATACACAAGTCATTAAATGAAAAAAAAAAAAACTCAGAAAATGATGGAAGTATCTGCTTTTTTTAATGAAAAAAGTTACTAGATGGATATTAAGAATTAAAGTTTATGTAACTGAAACAAACTTGAAATAATACAAACATCAGCTTAAACTATAAAAACATTTTATTTCAGCTAGCTGCCAACATTTCTAATTTTCATTTAGTTTAACGAAGTACTAAATCTATTAAAAAAAAACGTAAAAAAGCTAATAAAAATGCAAACAGAAAAAATAAAAACTAATTAATTATTAAAATAACAAACATTATTACTACAAAATATAATAGTATAACAATGCTACTAAAATAACAATCAGACAAGAGCAAAGAATGTCTTTTTATTCTAAAGAAAATAAGTTGTTGACATTAAGACAATATTTGAGAATATGAATTTAAACAAACTTTCTTAAGAGCTTTTGTTGAGACCAGACCAGCTCGAGATGAAGCTGCGGTGAGGAAAAACGCTTGAGAACTAACTCAACACTTACTCGTGATGCATAAGACAAAGCCACGAGAGAACCGAGACAGAAATGAGGAAGAGCGAGGAAGAGTCCAGACATCGTCAGAACTGCAGGTGAAGTTTGTGTTTTATTACCTGCCAGGCCTGCTCCAGTTCAGGAGTCCATCTGTCCTTCAGAACCGGCCGAACAGCGCAGATGAACTCGGCTCCCACATACTGAAACACAACCACACTTACATCAAAAAATATTACTTGAAATAAAATATATATAAAAAACAAACTTATTCTAGTTTATTTTTATTCATTGTATTTATGACCAAAAAAACCTACTAAATTACTAAAGCTTTCAAATTAAAGTGAAAACAGAAAAATTAAATCTAATTCAAAATCTTAAAAATTTCAAGACTTCAGAAATGTATTTATATTAGTGTAGAATTTGCCATTTCAATGAAGTGATCAAACACATATATATATAAAGATTATTTATAATTAAAATTATTTTTAAATTATTTATATTTATAAAATCTAAATGTATATATGT